TATCAGCTTTACATTGAATTATGTTGTGCTCCGTCAAAGACAAGTGGCCTGGGATGCTATCCTATATAAATGCAAGTTGTTATTGTTGAATTACACAGAATCTACAGCGTTAAAACAGAAGGAATGGGTGTTAGTGTTGAAGAAATTTGTTACAGTTAAAGTTCCTAATGATTCTAAAACATCTAAACTATTATTGTGTTAAAGTTTGTGGTCCAGAGAGAACATCCACTGTGCTCAAACATGAGGAAGGTAGAGGTCATGGGGTATTATAAGCTCTTGTTATGATTTAAATTAACCCTAACTAAATGTTGAAAAATATTTTACCAACTTTTTAAAATCAAGAGCAGCCAAAATCCATAATAAAAATAGAAAACAACAATAAATTGAAGTAGTGGCCATCTGACATTCTGCTGGATGTTCCAAGTTAATTGAATCATCAACAACAATAACAATTTATATTAGTGTAGAGTATTCCACAACTGTTTGGCTCAAAGGGTGGCTGGAAATATGGGAGAAGTGATAGGTCCTAAGCAGGGCCAAAATAAACGTGAAGTGGGCCCAAATTATTATAATTTTGGGGCCCCTCTTTGCACGTTCAATTCCTTCCCCATAAGGTATACCACCACCAATGCCCATGGTGATGCCAAACACTTGTTAATTTACCTTGGTTATTTCACTTCTGTGTTTTTAAGTGTGACATAACAATTGTGTAGCAGAATCAAAATTAAAACGAACAAAATCATATTAATTTCAGCACAAACTTGTAGTACTACTCCACTTAGTGATGGTAAAGGTAAAATCAAACAAGGGCATTAAATTAGAACAGCTATTAATCCAGTTTCTTCCTATTCTTCATGGATGAAACATCTTCAACAATGTCACTGAAATCCAGCTGGCCTAGCAAGTCACACTCAATTGACATTAATGTCAAATTACTCAATCTTGGCTGATCCATGGTTGAGCTGAGTCGATGATTGATCAGTGCCAGTTTTGAAAATGAGCGTTGGCCTCCAACATGAATTACTGTCAGTGTGAAAAACATTTGTAAAGCAATGTCTACATACAAATAGCTGACTTTTTTGGCGTAAAAGGTGAAGCAGACTCCTCGTCTGCTGCCCCTTCTCTCTGTCTCACACTCACACACTCTTCACTCTGTTACGCTCTGTTTTCTGTGCCTGTCTGTTGTTTAGAATGTGCTCTGTAGGGTTTGTGTGTTCACTGGGAGCACTGGCCAGTCTGAGTGGCCCTTTTGTGTATTTAAAGTTGTTTGTGATGCTTCGTGTGCCATCAAGTCTGACTATCTATAACTGCCATAAATGGATAGGAAGGTGCACTGTTTCCCTATTGGGCTGCTTACATCTTTTTCGCATTTAAAGTGGTTTGTGATACTTGTGTATCACCAATTACTTGATGTAATTGGTGCAATACAATTACGATTTGGTACCCTAATTCAGAAAAGAACAAGTGCCATGTGCTTGTGGTCACCATTTTCTACCTGATAACATCAAAAGGTATGTGCCCTGACTGTTGATGAGTAGCAGTCAGAGATTAGTGTTTTGTGCACTTTACATTGACTTAATTACAAGTGGCTGCTAGTGTATTTAGTTTAAGTGTGATTAGAGTTTGTTATTTCATACTTGTGTTTGTTGATATTTATTGTGTCATTTAAGATTTAATGCCGAGGGTTGTGGATTTCATAAAAACTACAATAAAATTCCATTGAGTTTACTTAACCATGCTTTCAAGAGCTTTCTGTATAAATCAAAGAAAGAGGGAATACAACAAAAACAACAAAATAATAATAATTGTTATTATTAAAAACAACAAAATGACATTTATAGAGCGCCTTTCACATCGGGAGGACGTCCCAAAGTGCTAACAGTCAGATGTTGGGGCCTGAGCATGGGGGAGGGGTGGTTTAGGGGTGAGGGAAAGCAGAGAGGTGAGAGGGAGACCAAAGGCACAGTTGAAAAGAAAGGTCTTGAGACTGGCCTTGAAGGAGGCAAGGGAGGAAGCGAGGCGAAGGGACCATGGGATGGAGTTCCAGAGTGTAGGGACAGAGAGGCTGAAGGCCCAGCCACCGATGGTAGGGTGGGTCGGGCGGGAGACATGGAGCAGGCCAGAGCCCGCTGAACGAAGGGAGTGGGCAGGTTGGTAGGGAGTCAACAGGTCAGAGAGGTAGGAGGGGGCGAGGCCATGGATGGCCTTGAAAGTGAGGATGAAGATCTTAAATTCGATCCTCTGGGGGATGGGGAGCCAGTGGAGTCGGGCGAGGGTGGGGGTGATGGGGTCATGGAGCCTGGTGCGTGAGAGGACACAAGCTGCAGAGTGAAGATGATCTTCAGCTTGTGAAGGGAAGAGTTAGGAAGGCCGATGAGGCCGATGAACACACAAATAAGTTGAGCCTGCATCACAGTCTATTTAGAATAAAAGACTCAGCATGGAAGCTTCCCAATTCGCTTTAATTTAAATAGCAATTGGTAGTACCTGTTCTCGAGGAAGAACTCATTAGTCAAGTTACACCTTGTTATAGGGACTTGGATTCATCAGTGAGGATTGAACACAGAAGCCACCCAGTACACTCTGCAAGGGGTAACGAGCCATATCATGGGTGTTCATATAGGGGTGTAGAACCTTCTCAGCTCCTTGTTGCCAGAACCAACAGAAATTTGGGAAATATTTCCCCAAAATTGGGCGTAGTTGACTGGTGCTATTGAGAGGAACAGTTTACTGCTGACTTACATTTTTTCACTTTATTGACAAAAATAAACATAAAGAAATAACATTTCATAGATTGGTCCATAAAAAGACTATTTACTAATGTATTCTTTAACAAAAACTGTATGGCGCATTTGGGGAAAAAAGCACCAGTGCAGGCCCAAAGAGCCAAATTTCCATGCTGCCCTACATTTGAAGGCCTGGAGAACAGCATTTGTCACAAAGCTCGCCAGTGTCCAACCTACGGGACTCCAAGAGATCACCACCTCCTGCCTCTCGGGGTTTCCACGGCACACAGATATCCAGAGACACAAAGACACACAGAGAGAAACACACACACTCAGACACATATATGCACAGGCCGCCATGGGGGTCCTCCGGTCATGGTCACGCATCAGGAGCGAAGCCCATTTCCCGCTCATGCCCCACTGCCACTATCCCAGCACCCCCCGTGCCGTGATTGTCTGTTGGCACAGCCTGTCAGTGTTACTCATACGTGGGAAGTGAAACTGAGGCTTCGTCGGCATGCTATCTCTCTGGAGGTCAAAGGTTACAGAGCCTGTGCGGAGCTTGAGTGGCTCCCGGTACTGAAGGCTATCAACCATATATACTGTACAATTATTGAGGGCACTGTCCTGAGGTATGTTAATGTGTCAGCATGGCTCAATTTAGAGCGTCAGACTCGCTCAATGGGTAATCTAGCCTCTGAGTCAGAAGGTTTGGGTTCAAGCAGCACATCTAAACTTTGAACTCATGTAATCTCATTTGTTAATACTCCAATTCAGCACTTCTTAAACCCCTACATTAATCCAGCCCTGCTCCTAAGGCAGGTTTTGAGGCAGAAATGGGGGATTGCAAGATGGAGGGACTCAGAAACATTTTATAGAGAGGGCAGAATGGTTGAAGGTTTGCAAACCCGTAGTTGAGAAGCAGGCTGGGATTTGCTGAGCAGTGAGCTGGGAAGGCAATAGAGTCATAGAAGGTCACAGAATGAAATGGGGCAAGACCAAGGAGGCATTTGAAAGTGAGATGTAGGATGATAGAATTGGTTCAGGAGAGAATCCTATTAGTCATAACAAAAGCTTGAAACAAATAATGTGATCTTGCCTGGCAGGTATGTTGGAGAGGAATGTCAATGAAGGAGAATAGAATTTTGCCGCATCAAACACATAGGTTTGACGAGGCACAGAGAGATCCAGTCATAGAATGATTCCACTTATATAATGCCCTCCATGCAAGGTAGCGTCTCAGAGCACTTAACAGTGGCGGAGCCTGACTCAGCTATGGGGGGTTGGGGGTAAGGTGGCCGTAGATACGGCCGAAGAGGAAGGTTTTCAGGTGGGACAACAGCTCGCGGAACTGCCACAATCCATCACTACTCCCACTGGAGAAAGCCCTCCCTCCTTACAGTCCTCAATACTCCTCCTCTTTCATTTTTAATGGTCACTTTCTTACTGGAGATAAATTCCCTCACCCCTGTATATATAAATATAGTAGAATTGATATCGATCCCACTGGGAAGCTGACCCTCTGCACAACTCCAACTATTTCAAAGTTACATTTTTTTTCGCGTGTTTCTAACTCCACCTCCCCTGGTCACAGAGATAGCCCCCACCCTTCGCAGCTGCTTTGCAGAGAGAGAGAGATATGGACAACTTCCGGGCAGCCCTCCACAGCTGCTTGTTTCTCAGCCTTGAGATAGGCAGGGGTCTGGGGCTGTAGCCTTTTCTTTCTGTGGTCCATTGTTCTTATATCTAAGCTCAAGGATAATGCTCATTATCTCAGAGGAGTGCACATCTTCCCAGAAAAATATGAAATGTAATCAGAAGCTAACCTCAGCCCATCCAGCAAAACTACTTCTAACCATTATCAAACCTTCTGGAACATTTGGTTGCTATTTGAAATATACCAAGGCACCCTGAGTTGATTGTCAGTACATTTCAACAAGGGGCTTGAGGGAGTGCACAGAGGAGGTGATGGACGGTGGAAAACAGTGTCTTTGGACTGTTGTTTGCCTCCGGGATTACTTTGGAGTAAAGTCAGTTGTGGCTTGTGAAAGAGAGAGGTGGTGGGTGTGGAGGTGCTCGAGCCACGGTTGGTGGTGAATCGCGAGGCTGGATTTCTGCCATCTGTGCTCGAGCGTCTGTGTTTGTGTTTTGAGTGAGCGGAGATGACTGTTGTACCAGGGGAAGTGGACGGGTTTCAAAACAACCCTGGATTTCAGGGGAGCCGGGAATTGAAGGTTGTGGAGAGATGATCATGGAGGAGGGCTTGGAAGAGGGGAGAGGGGTGCGGAAGAAAAGGCAGGTGAGGAAGTGGTCTGAGATGGCTTTGTCTGTGCTAGGCAGGTCAGAAATGTCAAGGCCACATGTGATGGTCGAGGGAGCGGCCATGATTGTGGGTCGGCAAGTTGATGTGGAGGGTGAAGTTTAGGGAGGAGGAGGGCAGTGAAATCCGAGGAGGTGGTGCACAGAGAGTTTAGGTGGAGGGGCGGTGACGGGGAGAGAGGTATAGAGAGGATTTGGGGTCGTGGGGGAGAAGTGACCATGGAGTTTGAGGAGCAAACAGAGTTGAGGATGATATGGATGAGGGAGGGGGAAGGGATGTTTGCCATTCGGAGGTGGTTGGTGAGGAGAGTGTGAGCGGTGGGACAGTTGGAGTGACTGCTCTGGGACAACCAATGCCGGGAGCCATGATGGGCCTGGCAGAGGATGCCCAGGCTGAGAAGAGGGAGATAATGGTGGAAGTCCAAGAGCGAGAGAAGGCAAGGAGGGCGATAGGAGAGAAGGACAGAGTAGGAGTAGCGGAATGTGAGAGGTGGGAGCAGGAACATTTTCAGAGGGAGCAGCCTTTTTTCTTGAGTGATTATTATCAGGGTGTGAAGTAAGGAAACTTGCCCAAGGGTTTGGGAATCAAACCCAGGTCTGTTGCTTGCGAGGCGAATGCTCTAACCACTGAGCTACAGGACTCCACAAAATGGAGCTACAGGAAATGGCATCTCCGCGACTGGAGCAGCCGAACCTTCACCACCGCTCGTTCGCTCACCCGTGGCCTCGGCGGTTCCTCGCATTCGTTATACAGGCGGGGGTTTGAAATTTCTCCCCCTGACAGTGCCCTCCCACGGCCAACCTCGCCCGGCTTTCGGCAACCAAAACCTTCAAGCCTCGCTGCTCGCGTCTCCCCCTTGGTTTAGGTTTCCCGAGGCCCCCGCCGATCGCTGACTTGCCAATTAATGATCAGGGGTGTCTACATGCTGTGGGTATTTTAGAGGATTTAGGGTGTCAAAGGGAGAGGTGAAAGCCTAGTTACACGGTTGACAAAACGCTACAGTATCTAAAGAGAGAATAAGTTAGAAATAGAACGATAGTTTGAGTAGGTGAAAAGTGGATTTGTTTTAGGGAGGAGAAAAATTGAGGAGGAAAAGAGGTTGAGGATATCGGTTGGTATGGCCCAAAAGAGGTGGTAGAAGTTCAAGGGAGGAGATGGTTGGCTTCATTTGAGAGATGAACTTAATGACAAATGAGGAAGAAAAAAATATGTTTTTGCAGGGTTGGGGCAGAGGAAGTTGAAGGGGTATTGTGGAGACGATAAGTGGAGGATGAAGAGGTAAGTGAAAGGTGTCACCCACCAACATGTCCCACCAGTTGGCCCAGTGTTCAAGATGGAGGGTCCGGTGCATTTTTTTCACAGTAACATGATAATACAGCTAATTAATTTTTTATGGTTCGCAACAATACCGGTGCCATCAAATTGGTAACATTTTCACCTGTTGAAACATTGTCCCATGGCCTACTGTTGCTGTGACAAATGCCAAAGTAGTCACCTGGAGCTAGTCCGGAATCCTATTTGAAATTACCTATCAATCTAGGAAAACATAACAACAACAAGATTACATTTGTATAGCGTCTTTCATGTCGGGAGGACGTCCCAAGGCGCTGGATAGTGTACAGCATTTCAGACCCGAGCTGGGGTCAAGGAGGGAGAAGGGAGGGGGGGGAAGGGGCATGGCCAATGGCATGGTTGAAGAGGAGGGTTTTGAGGCGGGACTTGGAGGAGGCTAAGGAGGGGTCGTGGCGGAGTGATTGAGGGATGGAATTCCAGAGGTTGGGGGCAGAGTGGCTGAAGGCTCTCACGCCAGTGATGGGGCGAGTGGGTCGTGGGACGTGGAGCAGGCCAGAGACGGCTGAGCGGAGGGAGCAGGCGGGTTGGTAGTGGCCTAGGAGGTGACAGAGATAGGGTGGGGCGAGGCCATGGAGGACTTTGTAGGTGAGGACTAGGATCTTTAACTGGATCCTCTGAAGAGGCAATGGAGCCAATGGAGTCGGGCGAGAATGGGGGAGATGGGGTCATTTAATATATATTAAAGTTTCACATGAGAATCCCTGGTTCAACGTGTTATTATGTAAGTGACATATAATTGGTCACCCAGAGTCTGACACACCCAGAAACTCAGCCTATGTTGTACCTGGTTCAGTTGGTAGCGCTTGACAGGGGAGGAGTCTGACATGGAACCAGGGGGAAAGGGAGTGACCATAAGCACAATCAAAAAGGAAGGTCTTTTGGCGGGATTTGAAAGTGAAAGGGGAGCAAGGTGGAGGGATTGAGGTAGAGAGTTCCAGAGTTTCAGGGCCTAGCGGCTGAAGGCATGGCCACTGACGGTGGAGCAAAGGGGATGAGGGACAAACAGGAGGCTGGAATTAGCCGAATGGAGGCAGCAGGTGGTGGAGTAGAGGGTAAGCGAATTGGATAGATGGGAGTTACAAGGGCAATGAAGGGATTTGAAAATCAGTGAGAGGATCTTGAAATCAATCCATTCAGTAATAGGGAGCCAGTGGAGCTTGGCAAGGACTAGCGTGATGGGGGTATGGAGTTTTGTGCGGGTGAGTATCTTGTCAATGGAATTTGGGATTAATTGGATTTTGTGTATGGTGGAGCTGGGGAGACCAATGATGAGGGCCTGGAATAGTCCAATGAAGTGATGAACGCGTGGATGAGGATTTTGACTGCATTAGTTGTGTGGTACGGATAAAGGCAGGCAATGTTACAAAAGTGGAAAAATGTGGCCCTGATCAGGGACCAGATGTGGAGTAGAAAAGAAAGCTGGAAACTGAACCTGACGCCTAAATTGTGCACAGGTTGGGTGAGTCTGAGGGAGAGTCCCCGGGAGGCTAAGGAGTTCACATCCACAGGAGAGAAGAATATGGCTTCCGTCTTACTAATATTCAACTGCAGGAAATTTGTGCTCATCCAAGTCTTGATGTCTGTCAAACAAGCTGACATGACATCAGCAGACTGGGAGTCACAGCTGGAGGAGTAGAGGTAGATTTGGGTGTCATCTGCATATATGTGAAAGTTGTCCCTATGTAAAGCTCCTTTCATGTCGGGAGGATGTCCCAAGGCGGGGAAAGGAATCAGGACAGAGCGGAGGCTGAGGTAAGCTACTGTCAGAGCGACAAAAAAAAGAAAAAGTTTTTCAACAGCAGAACCAGGGACAAACATCGACAAACAAGGAACTGTCAGAAACTACAACACTGACGGCAAATTAAAACAAAAAAACAAAAAGAAAAAATATATATATTGAAAACACTGTGTGAGAAGATGATGGCAAGTGAAATGCAAGGACTGTGACATGTGGGAGTTAATGAGGGCCCTGAGCCCGGGCAACTTCATCTGCAGCGAGTGTATCCAAATCAAGTGTACTCACCTGCCTCAAATCTGGCCTAACGGTCCACCGACAAATCTGGCTGGACCTCCTCAAAACCTACCGCTCCACTCTAGCCTCGGCCAAGTCGTCCTTCTACTCCAGGATAATCCTGGAGGCGAAGAACAACCCCAGGCTTCTGTTTTCTACCACGTCCCGACTCCTCCGTCCCCCCCGCCACCCCGCGCAGGTCATCTCCTCCAACCTTCACTGCGAGGAGATGCTGGATTTCCTTGAATCCCAAATCAAGGGAATCCGCTCCGCGGTCACTGCCCCTCCAACTTCCACCCACCCCCCACCCCCTCCCTCCCACACTCCGACTCCTACCCATCCTCCCCTGCACACCTTTGTACCCATTTCCCCACCCTCTGTCACCAAATCATCCTGTCCCTGAAGCCCACCACCTGCTCCCTGGACGCCAGCCCCACTCCACTCCTTATCTCCCAGCTCCACCTCCTTGCCCCACATATCACAGACATCATCAACCTGTCCCTCTCCTCTGGCTCTGTTCCCATTCCCCTCAAAACTGCCACCATCACTCCCTTGATGCGTCGCAGCTATCAATCTCCGGCCCATCTCCAACCTCCCCTTCCTGTCCAAGGTCCTTGAAAGAGTTGTCGCCTCCCAGCTGCACTCTTTCCTCTCCACTCATTCATTATTCGAACCCCTTCGTGGAGTCCTGTAGCTCAGTGGTTAGAGCACTCGCTTTGCAAGTGAGAGACCTGAGTTCAATTCCAGGCAGAGGGCGAAACCTTGGGCAAGTTTCCTTACTCCACACAGAGCCTAATAATAATCCCTCCAAAACCAAAAACAATAATAAATTGGTCATTTTCAATCTACGACTGTTTGTGGGACATTGTTGTGCGCAATTGGCTGCCGCGTTCGCCCACAAATATACAGTCAATTCACTTTACAGTGTGTTCTGTGAAGCGCTTTGGGATGTCCTCCCGACATGAAAAGCGCTATATCAAATGCGAGGATTATTATTATTATTATTCAGTCGGGTTTCCGTGCTGCCCATAGCACAGAAACCGCCCTCGTCAAGGTCACCAATGACATCCTGACCATAAGGGACCAGGGATCCCTCTGCCTCCTCGTTCTCCTCGACCTATCGGCAGCATTTGATATGGTCGACCACGCTATCCTCCTCCACCGCTTGTCCTCCCACCTCAACCTTCAAGGCCCTGTCCTTGGGTGGTTTAGGTCGTACCTCTCCCACTTGCCATGTGTCTGCCCATTCGACTGTCTGCCACGTTCGACCCTGAGCTGTCCTTTCTTCCTCACATCCGCGCCACAACTGGCACCACCTTCCATCACCTCCGGAACATCGCCAGACTACAGCACTACCTCAGCCCACACTCTGCTGAAACTCTGGTCCACGTCTTTATCACCTCGAGGCTGGACTAAAGGAATTCTCTCCTCGCCGGCCTTCCCGGCATCTCCCTCCACAAGCTGTAGGTCACTCAGAACTCTGCAGCTCGTGTACTGTCCCGCACCAGGCTTCACGACCACATCACTCCCACCCTCGCTCGACTCCACTGGCTCCCCATCCCCCAGAGGATCGAATTCAAGATCCTCATCCTCACCTACAAGGCCATTCACGGCCTCGCTCCCTCCTACCTCTCCAACCTACTATCCCCCTACTTACCTGCCCGAACCCTTCGTTCCTCTGGCTCTGGTCTGATCCACATCCCCCGCCCCAACGGCCCTACCATCGGTGGCCTTCAGCCTCTCAGCCCCGAGGCTCTGGAACTCCATCCCCCAGTGCTTTCGCCACCTCCTCCCTTTCCTCCTTCAAGGCCGGTCTCAAGACCTTTCTCTTTGACCGTGCCTTCAGCTCCCCTCTCAACTCTCCACCCCCTCCTCGCCCCCTCCCTTCCCTCCCCTCACCCTGACAATTTCCCCCCTCCTCGCTCCCTCCCTTTCCTCCCCTCACCCTGACCATTTCCCCCCTGTTCAACGCTTTGGGACGTCCTCCCGACGTGAAAGGTGCTCTATAAATGAAATGTTGTTGTTGTTGTTGATACTCAACTGGAAGAGGGCTAATTTCAGTGAGTTAAAATGGGCCTAGTCAAGGTGGACTGGAAAGAAAGATTGGCAGGTAAACTAAAGAGCAGTAAGAAGTCTTCAAGGATGAGAGAGCTCGGGGACAGAATAAATACATTCCCACAAAAGGGAAAAGTATGGCTTCCAAACCTCCCCGGATGACGAAGGTAATTGTATCTAGAATGAAGCAGAAAAAGGAGGCGTATGACAAATGTCAAACCCAAGATACAGAAGACAACCAAATAGAATATAGGAAGTGCAGAACAGGTTTGAAAAAGGAAATAAGAGGCGTTAAAAGATTATATGAAAAAAGGTTAGCGGGTAACATTAAAGGGAATTCTAAAATATTTTACAAACATATCAAGAAAAAAAGGTTAGTCAAAGGTAGGGTGGGGCTGATTAAGGACCAAGGGGGCAATCTTATTGTGGAGGCAGAGGCCATGGCTGATGTGCTGAATGAGGACTTTGCATCTGTCTTCACAAAAGAAGTGGATGCACCAAATGCCGCAGTATCGGAGGAGAGGGCAGAGGAAATGGATAGGATAAGTATAAACAGAGAGGAAGTACTGAAAAGGTTGACTGGGCTGAAGGTGATAAGTCGCCCGGTCCGGACGGGATGCAGCCAAGGTTACCAGGGGAGGGACGGGTACAAATAGCAGAGGCTTTGGCCACAATTTTTCAATCTTCGTTGGACACAGGAGTGGTGCTCGAGGACTGGAGAGTGGCCAATGTGACTCCTTGTACAAAACGGGGCAGAAGGACAAACCTGGGAACTCCAGGCCAGAAAGCAGAGAGTTGTGGTGAACGGCTGCTTTTCTGACTGGAGAGAAGTGTACAGTGGCATTCCCCAGGGATCGGT